TGACATGATAATGGTGATGACATGGTGATGATCAAGTGCTTGGACTTGGAAAAGAAGAGAAAGAAAATAAAAAATCTCAAGGCAAAGGTGAAATTGAAAAGAGCTTTTTGGTTTAGTGATCAAGACACTTAGAGAGTGTAATCACATTTAGGATGGATAGCCGTACTATTAAGAGGGATGAAACTCGTATCGAAATATGGTTATCAAAGTGCCACTAGATGAACTAACTCATTGCATATGCATTTAGAATCTAGTGGAGTGCTAACACCCTTGAAAATGTTTATGAAAATATGCTAACACACATGCACAAAGGTGATGCACATTGTGTTTAGCACTTGGGAGCAAGGGTTTGAAACTCCACCGGTGGAGTGTCCGTCCGTAGAGTGCGGACAGTCCGACGGTGCCACCGACGCCCTGTACAGAAAAGACAGGGTTTCACAGAGTGCACCGGACGCTGGTCACGCAATGACCAGACTCTGGGGTCCTGTGTCCGGTCAGTGGCGCGCAGTGAAGGCCGCCCTCGGTCTCTTGACGGACACAGTGACCGGACCTTGGTGAACAACTATTCAAAGATCCGGTCATCTTTGTTGTGGTGGCGCACAGATGAAACAGTGAGTGATCGAACGCTGGGCGAGTCCGGTCGGTGGTGACCGGACACATCAGATCACGAGTAGAACCTTACTGGAAACGACCAGACGTTGGGGTCCTGCGTCTGGTCACTTTCAAGCAGCACGTCCAATCACAACTTAAATGTACTGATGACCATTGAGATCGGACGATCAGAGTTTGAAGCAGGTGCCACGTGTCGTGCATCGCATGAACGGACGCTGAGGTCCTACGTCCGGTCGATCTGACAGGAGCATCAGGTCACCCTGAGCAGTGCCCAGTGAAGAGGTACAACGGCTCTATTTCGTGGGGGCTTCTATTTAAGCCCCATGGCTGGCTTAAGCTCACTCTCTTGCCCATTTGCATTGACATAGCAACCTTGTGAGTTTAGCCAAAACCCTCCCACTCATCTTCATCATTGATTCATCATCTTTGTGGGATTGGGAGAGAATCCAAGTGCATTGCTTGAGTGATTGCATCTAGAGGCACTTGGTGTTCGTGTTTTGCTGCGGGATTTGCTTGTTGCTCTTCGTGGTTGCCACCACCTAGACACCTTGGAGCAGCGGAGGAGGATTGGCATGAGTTGGTGATTGTTCGTGGCCATCTTCGGTGATTGTGAGGGGACTTGTGCCTTCCCCGGTGGAGCGCTGAAAGATAACCCTACTGGATTGCTCGTGTCATTAAGTTACCTCACTTGTGGGTAGGTTCTTGCGGTGTCCAATTGTGTGGACGAGGTTCGTGCAACACCTCTTAGCCGCTGAACCACCAAGTGTTGGTCGACACAACGGGGATGTAGCGTGTTGGCAAACACGTGAACATTGGGAGAAAATTGGTTGTCTCTTACCCTTTGGTATTCTCCCGGTGATTGATTTAGTGTTCATCTTGTGATTGGTTCACTCCTCTACACGACGGTATAATCACCCTATTCACTCATTTATATTCGTGCAAACTAGTTGTAGCAAGCTCTTTAGTGTAGTTACAATTGAGAGCTTGCTTTGTTGTTTTGTGTTCATCTAGTGGAGCTCTTTAGTGTAGCAAGTGTGAGAGCTCTTAGTGAGTAGTGACTTAGCAAATTGAGTGTCTCGTGATCATAGTAACTAGAATTGCTGGATAGGTGGCTTGCAACCCTTGTAGAGCTAGAGCAAGTTTGCATTCCGCTATTTGTTATACTAATCAAATTGCTCTAGTTGGTTTGTAGATTTTTAAATAGGCTATTTACCCCCCTCTAGCCATATTAAGACCCTTCACTTATTATCATATTATTGAGTTCAACAATACTTATTTTCACTGCCTAAACCCATTGAAGGGTATGTAGAATTGGCCAGAGTCTGATCTCCCACCCTTGAAGGCACCTGGATATGTGAGAATGCCAGGCAGACCTAAAAAAGAAAGGAAGAGGGAGCCACAAGAACAACCAAAGGCAAAGAGATTTTCTAAGGTAGGGACAGTCATCAGACGCAGGAAATGTAAGGGAATAGGCCACAATAGGTCCACTTGTGACAAGAGACATGGGGTTCCATCTAGCAGTGAAACTCTAGGAGGCACAGGTCATGCTGCTCCACAACCAAGTAATCTATTAGCTGATGCTTCTACACATGGTAGCTTTGTACTGGCAACTTTGTACCCACTGCTACCTCTAATGAAAGCAGTAGAGGAAGAGGGAAAAGAAGAGCATCTCAGCGAAGCCAAGTAACTGTATGTGCTACTTCGTATGTTGTTTTCTTTTTTTAATTTTGCCTCCAATTTCTTATATTTTAACTCACATGCAGAAAAAGATCAAGTGCACTGCCACAGCTAGAGTGCAAACGCCTGGGCAAGCTAACATGCATTTATAAGCCAATGTTCCATTGTCCCAGGCAAGTTCTTCTGTGAACTTGAGTTTTAAAGGTGGAAAAGCATGTGTTACAGTCACTGACGAGGAACCTCCAAGGAAGAAGCAATCAGTGAAGAAGCGCACACAACCAAGCTAACTGCTACTTCTCAAAGACCGTGCTGATCCTTAAGAGCATGTATTGCCATATTGTGATGTTAACTTGTATTGTACTGTCAGACTTTCAAGGCTTTTAGATTGTTGAACTTGTAATGTAATACCAGACTTTTAAGGCATTTGTGATGTTCTTCACCTATAATGTAATGTAATGCCAGACTTCCAGGTTGTAATGTTCAGTCATTTCTATCACTCCTTGGTTGCCTTTGAGGCTATAAGTTCTGCAGTTCAGCAAGCATTGGCAATTCGAAGCTGTGCAAAGTTGAATTGAATTGAAAAGGGCAAGCATGCAGAGGCATGACAATAGGGAGATGATGAGCAACCAAAACCTGAAAGCCTTATCTTGGAATTCATAATCGATTCAAAGATAGCAAAATACATCTTCAATTCAATACATCTTCCATATTTCTACACCACAAACTAACAAGCATCCAACTACTACCATTGTCTTCCATCACAACTAAAAAAGCAAGAAACATCTACTTCCTAAAAAGTACAGCAAGCACTAGAATCACACAGGCCGCCAATACAAACTTCAACAAACCTATTTCCTTCTCTACCATCCTGCATTTCAACTGAACATCTTCTGTTGTAGCTGTTTGCACCATTGCTGCCACATCATCTGTGCCTGCAAATCCTGTTTCCACCATGACTCTTTCTTGCTGCCTTAATGCTTCTGCATCAACGAATGCTGCATCAACTAATGCCAGATTCATGTGACCATTTCCCCGTCTGTTAGCCGTCCTCATTGCTCGCACTTGGTCACGGAGCTCAATAAGAACGGGTACAAGGTGCTCCGGGTTTGGTGGATCAATCTAGCGATAAAATTGGCATGGCCGCATATTGCTCTACAACCATGATTACAACCAAAACCAAGACAACTTCAATCATGACATCCAACAAAGAACCAAATCCTAAACAAGTCATCGATCGAACTCACCTGAGATCCGAAGCAATTGTAGAACCTGTGGTCCAGATTATCATTGGTCCACGATGTCCACTTTGCCGCCTTCGCTCCGCAATTGCAAATCACGGGCGGCCAATAATCAAGAGGGCCTCGGCGACATTGCAAGGGGTACGACCGAAAGCCACCATGGTCGGACCTTCCTCCTCCCCTCCAGCTACTCGCGTTGCTCGAGCTCGCCATGCTGTTGATCCGCACCCACACCAGCACCCTCCGCAGTCGCCGTCGCCGTCGCTGTCGCTGGGTTCGGGGTTGGGAAAGGAACGAGAGTGAGAGGAGAGTGCGGGGGTACTTGGGCTGCGAAGACGAGGAGAATGGGCCGAAACCGCGGTCGTGGTGGGTTGACTGAGCGGAAACCGTCGTTGTGCCGGCGCGAGGGTCAATTTTAACTGGTTTAGAGAGTTAAGAGACCACGCATGTCTGATTTTCGAATTAGAGGGCTAGAAATAAACTGCAGTTCTAGTTAAAGGGCAAAAATAAACTTTTTGGTTGTTGCTCGTGCTTCTCCAATTCTGCCCAGCGTCCAAAACCCCTTGTCTGCAAAACCCGCAAACCCCACTGTTGGCTTGCTCCAGCCTTCCGACTCCCAACTCTGCTCCAGTGTTTTCAGCTGCCTCTGTTCCGATTCTCCCGCTCTCCCACCGCCTCGTGCTCTCCATTCCGCCGCTTCTTCCCTCCCCAAGTCCTACATCACCTCCCCATCCGCCTTTGGCCCGCAAGCCGCAACCGGCGTCCCTCGCCGCCGATGGACTCTGACTCCTCCCCCTCGGCAGCACCGCCGGCCGCCGCTGAAGCGGGGCGGTACACGTACAGCCCGAGGCTGCGGTGGCAGCCGAAGGTGGAGGAGTACTTCGCCGAGGCGTACGGCCGCGACCACTTCGCCCGCATCTCCGAGGCCCTCGCGTGAGTACTCTTCCGCCCACCAGTTGCTGCCTCTGGCTGTTCCCCTTCTCTCCTTTGATAGGTTGCTGCTGATTCTAGGATTCCTGTGTTTTAAATCCAGGTTCTAGGGTTCTTATTAGCTGTAGCTGTGTAGTGTAATGTTCTACCTGAGTAGACTCCGCAGATTGATAATGAAATGTAGGCCCGAACAGAAAACGCAGGTTCTTTGCATATCCAGTGGCCAAGATGCTCGAGTCTTACATCAGCCCTTCCATTGATTAGTAACAGAATGATTCAGAATTAACAAGTGTGCCATTAAAAAGTTTGTAATTACACACAGGCCATTAAAAAAGTTGACCGCACACAGATGCCACCGTTCTGAACTTCTTTGCTCTCCAAGCCATTCTGTCCGCTTTTCTATTTAACGGTGTCAAACAGACAGGTGAAATGACCATTTTACCCTATGGTGGGGTCCGTTTGCCAGCCACCCAAACTTTCTCTTTCTCTTGCGCCTCCATTCCGCGCTCCCCGTGCTCCTGCTCGTCGTCGCGGCGCGGGCGAATGCGTCTCCTCCCCGCGGTGTGCTGCTGCTTCCCCTTCGCGGTGGTGGAGCTTGTCTTGCTCGCGGCCGTGGGCGTGCCCGCCGCGCTGTGCCGCCGCGTGCTCCGCGCTCGGGCGAGGTGCAGGCGCGCCTCCCGCGCCGCCGCGGCCAAGAAGAAGGAGATGGCGGGGAGCTGCAGCAGCGGCATGAGCCCCGACAGCGACGTCGAGGGCCCCAGCGTGCAGGGAGGCGGCCTCGTCCCCAATGGCGGCGGCAAGAGCCAGGAGGCGGCGCGCGTGGAGCTGCCGCAGCCGGTCCTCGCCGTGGATCTGACGCAGCGTGCGTGGAGGTGATGCGAGGAGGTCCGCCCCGGCCGCCGTGGGCGCGGGCGAGCTCCGCCCCGGCCGCCTCTGGAGCGCGCGGGCGAGCTCCGCCCCGGCCGCCGCGGGCAAGCTCGGCCCCGGCCGGGCCGCGGGCGCGGGCGCGCTCGGCCCCGGCCGCCGCGGGCGTGCGCGGGCGAGCTCGGCCCCGGACAGCCGCCGTGAGCGCGGGCGAGAGAAGAGAGATCGAGTTTGAGAGAGAGAGAGAGGATAGGGATGAGAGGGGTATTATGGACGTTTTGACTGACCTGACCCACTTGTCAGGACTCCCAAACGGTGAAAAACGAACGGAATGCGGATGGAATGGCTTGGAGAACAAAGAAGTTCAGAACGGTGGCATCTGTGTGCAGTCAACTTTTTTAATGGCCTGTGTGTAATTACAAACTTTTTTAATGGCATACATGTAAAAGCCTCAATTAACAAGAAGGATATATTATGTTGTCAGGAAATACAAAACATGCTACTGTTTGGGATCTTGGCAACGGACAACCAATAATACTTGGTTATTAAGTATATTCTGAATCAGTGAATCTCATGCTGTTGAACACGTTCATCACATGAAAATTTGCCAACCTGATGAAACATTTCTGCATCACATGCTTTTCTCAGGTTATAAACACTAAACAAGTCAACTTAGTGCACAGTTATCGTTTAAAATATTTGGAAGATAAGATGATCACTAGATTAGCACATCAGACGGTTGGTCTGAAGAGACTAGTATTTAGGTATGTGATTGGTGTCTTTGTTCATAGTTATTCAAATGCGCAATGTTATGTTATAGTTAGTTCTTGGCTTCGACTCGCTACATAATTTTTCTGAAGTATGAACTTCTATGTGCTTATCTTAGCCAATTTGTGTTTAGGGTACTGTTCTGAACTCCATTGCTAATTTTCAGTTTGTGTTTAGGGTGCTTATGCCAAATTGGTGCTAATTTTCAGTTAGTGATGGCTGTTACTGTTATATATGACTATTACTGGTGCAGGCATCCTTCTTATTATTCTTGTATTCGTGTCAATACTCTGAAGTCTTCCACTGATGCTGTCATGCATAAACTGATGGATCTAATATGCGAAAATGAGCTCTCTGCTGTAATCAATGGTTTGGAGGTTGTGGAGCTGAATGGTGGAGAGCAACAACATGAACGGGGCTCTCTGGTCCACAAGTGCCCCTATGCGGGCCTTGAAAATGTTTTGTTTGTTCAGGGATCAGGACCACATGTGCTGCATTATGGTAGCCAACCAGATCAAGCTGTTAAGGAAGTAGTTGTAAGTCGAAAATGTGCAGAGTCAGTTCTTCGGGGTGCCCAGGTATATCTTTCTTTTCCTGCATGTGTGCCTATATGTAGCAAACGAGTCTAATGACTAATGAGTGAGAGCCACTCCTAAAATAAGAAAATGATAACCGTCTATGTTTGCCAGCGGTTGTGATCTCAGCAGCTGATATAAATCTACAAGAACCGTCAGACATTTGGCGAAACACCTTCTAAGTTGTCTCGTATCCACTATCACTTCCCTCCACATTATAATATGGGCCATTGGATTGAATCTGCAGCATTTAGACTGACACATGTTGAACACTGGTGATCACTTCCCTATTTGGGACATTCTGCTTGATATTTTTTTTCAGGATCAAATAGAATCTAGATTTTTGGGGACTGGCCCCGGCAGAATCTTTGAAAAGGAGGTGTAAAATTGAATTAATACCTAACATTGCTGTCCTTTCATGAGCACAACAGCTGCATGTTTTTGGTGCATTCTGTGCCTACATAGTTCATGATATGAGTAAAATTATTGTTGTTTTCTGGTGTCACAAAGCTTATATGCATGTTATATGGTGAACACTTGTTATATTCTGCTGTATTTGGTCGAACAGGTTCACAGTGTTTAATGTGTTAACCTTCAATAATCAGGCTAATATACCTTTTTATTTGGTTGAACCCTGACTATTGTAATATTGCATCCTTAACACTCCCTCTTCCCCTCTTCGTTTTGATTCAGCAATTTTTGTACCCTTTTCTGATCTTGCCGGAATTTTCTGAAGGAATTAGTAATGTTTAGTCCTTGAATTTAAACTGAATAGTGTGCTGCATAAACTTCATTGTCTAAGTTCAAATATGATTTTCCTGTATTTTGATTTTGAATCCGTGCCACTACACAACTTCATTGTTGTAAATCTCTACTTGTGTTTGATCTTTTCCATTCGTTGTGTTCAGGTGTATGTTCCTGGTGTTTTAGCTTGTAGTTCACATGTTGAAAAGGGTGATAAGGTTGCAGTGTCAGTCGCTATTGAGCAGCCTGTCAAGGAAGATGGCTGGGCTGTGGGCATAACACGAGGAACTGTTTTACAGGGATTGCAATCAGGCAAGCTTGTTTTTCAGTGGATGCTTTTAGTGTGTTTTATACTTGTTAAATAGATTGATTTTGTTTCGTTTGTAAGTGTCTATTTTCCCTTGAAATAGATGGTTGCACTTGGTGTTGTACTATTGTTTTAGGTTGTGCTGCAAGGTTTTTTCATTGATAAAGGTGGCATATTCATGAACTATTTACATACACAATGTTGCAGATGCACATTATGAAGAAAGGAAGGGTTTGTACATTGGTCAAGGAACCGCTGCAATGTCAAGGTCTGCGATATTTCGTGTTCCTCATGGGATTGCAGTAGAGATGACTGAGAGGGTATACAAGCTCCCATCTTTCAACGGTATATTTGCATTTTTCTTAATTTGTTGTATAATTTTTAGCAATATATGTAAGCATCTTTCATTAGTTTATACTTTATATGCAATGTGTTGTAGCAATCTACAAATCATTTTTATGCTATCAATCCCTTCCCCAGACCCCACTCATGTGGGAGCCTCCGGCACTGGGTCTGCCCCCCTTTTTTTTGTTATTGACAGATATGCAGCCTTACAGTGTTAATATAGAACTTGAGGACAGACTGTATAAACCCTTTGGTTGGCAAACAACATACACATACTATCATTTCTCTGAATGGTATTTTTATCATTTCAACCCTCAACTACAACTCATGCAGCTAGCCGGGCTTTGCTCCTTTGCCCAGCTGTTCTCTCGTGGCAGCTACCCAGGAATTACATTTGGATAAGCTCTGCTCCGACCCACCATCTGAAAATAATAGACAAACATGCCTTAAGCTGTATTAGGGCTTCATTTTCCATCAGAAGAAACCCAAAAGGCACCAATGTAAAATGGTGTGAATGTTGCCAACTCCTTAATTTTGTTTCTTGCATACCTACTTTTGAATTCTGTCCATCTACTTTTACTTTGAAAAGGATTTCAAAAACAATACTTTGATTGAGTTGATATAAATTGTCAACTAATTTATCTAATTACCCTTTTGTCGGGTTCATAAACCCGGGGTCCCTCATGGACCGGCTTCCCAACAAAGGCTCGCTAAGCGGACAACGTTATGCGAGCAACGCGCAACTCATGGGTCGGCCAAAATACCTAGAGACAATGAGCCGAAGGAGGATCCAATCTCCGTAGGAAGGCTGGCCGAGGAGGAACGGCGCCGCTTCCGACTCGGCCCCTTTCTCCGACCGGAGCGCTGCTTTTGGTCTCGGGCCCGCTCCGGACGGCCTCTCCAACTGGAAGGCCTGGCCAAAGCACTACTTCCAACTCCGACCTGCGTCTCCGACTGGCCCCTGCTCACTGCTCTTCTCCAACTGGCGCATTCAGAGCCGACTGGGACTAACCGATCGGGGACGCCCGCTCGGTAAGGATCAGGGAATGGACGAAGAAATTGAGGCAGGGCGCACAAGTCAAAACCGCAATACCAGGGACCGTACCCTGTGCACCTGCCAGGCAGTGCCCTGCGACCCTCCTGGCACGACAGAACTCAAGCAGTGTTGAAGACGCCGATATTTTCCCCTACAGTGTTGTGGGCGCCATCAACTCCCATACCCGACAAATACGGTAAGGCTCCCCCCACATGCCTCTGGGCATCGACAGTGTTGTGGGCGTCGGCATTTACCATACCAGACGAACATGGTAAAACCCCTTGCATGCCTCCAGGTATCAACAGTGTGGTAGGCGTCGACGTCTGCCATACCCGAAGAAGACAACACAAACCTCCCACGTGCATCTGACATTCAATAGTATTGTGGACGCCTACCATCATCCTGGACCCGTCGGCGTTGGCAACAAGGCTTAGTAGCACACGCACTTTCTCCCTCTCACTTGTAAGGCCTTCCCCTTCATCTATAAAAGGGGATGCGCTCTCTCCAACAAAGATAAGTTCATTCAGATTCAATCAGATCGATCAAGTTCACTTAGCACATAGCGGAGCTCCCGTCACTCTCGGCCCCTCTGACCAGAGTCCGACCGGACCTCTTGTACACCCCATCTTTCTCCTTCTCGTTTGTAACCCCACTGCAAACTTCGAGCACCTTGGCTCAGGAATAAAGTCACCGACCGACCCAAACTGGAAGTAGGGCACGTTGCCGGAAACAGTATAAATCCTGTGTCATTGAGTGTTAGGCCACCTCCGATCACAACGTACGGCAAAACTACAAATATTTACGTGTTGGTTACTTTCTGCACCGACACCTTTTGTCATATTATTGATTTTAAGCCTAATTAATAATTCGTTTCGTCTGTAGATGTGCTTGAAGGGGAGATATTTCTTCAAAATTTACCAAGTGTTGTGACTGCTTGTGTCCTTGGTATGATTTCTATATATTTTTTGGCTGCTAGTTTCAATGTAATGTTTCACCCAATATTATGATCTTTACCATGCAATTGTTACAAATATCCAACACGGTGCTGATTGTGTTAGTTTAAATCCAGGCAGTATAGAAAACCAAACGATTACATAGAGGACTGTGCATCATATGGAATAATATGAAGCACTCGTGATGAACCTTGGAGAAAATGCATGTTTAGTTTGCAGATGTTAGAGGAGTTCACTGCATTGATTGGCTTCTAGTCAAAGAGAGCCTAAAACTCCCTTGTGTTTGCAGTTTAAAAAACCAAAGCAATTTGCCAAGTTGAAAAACCACTGCACATAATCTTGCTAGAAATAAACAGTTGAATCCAGGCTATCTCAATACTTGTTTCCCCCCTAGACGCTGACCTTTTTACATTTGGTTGGCTTGAATGTCACTTGCATGCTTTTGAGAATTTGTTTCTTCAATGGTACTACTGATTAACTTTGCTGTGTGGAACATATGATTTTTTTGGGGTATATAATTCACAAATAGCTCGGATTATGCATTTTTCATGCTATACATTCCATATATTTGTACAGCATCACAACAAGATTTCAACCAAACTTGATATGTATTGCATAAAATTTGTGACCCATTTTATAGATCCCCAGTCAGGAGAGCGAATACTAGATATGTGCGCTGCTCCTGGAGGAAAAACAACAGCAATTGCTATCCTTATGAGGGACAAAGGAGAAGTTGTTGCCCTTGATAGATCTCACAATAAGGTAAACTGTTTTTTCACATCAGATTTTAACATATATTTTGACCTAGGTCTATGATCTCACAATAAGGATTATAGCTTCATGAACACATATCCTTTTGTAAGTCATAAAAAAATGTTAGCTGAGTGGTGTGTGTAGTGTTCACAGAAACTGATTGATGGTGGAACAAGGGGCCTAGCTTATTTGCTCTCAACCAAGCCTGTAGCTTAGCATTGCAGTTTCTCTTTGGCATGTTTGTTTCTTTTTGTCCTCCCTCCTTCCATCCCAATCTTGTTTTGTTTATTTTAATGGGGGTGGTCCAACCTTGTAAAGATACTTTATTCCTTCTTTAATGCAATGTATGCAGTTCTTTTTTTCTCGAACACACAGGAGAGCTGCGTATCATTATATTAAGAAGAAAAAATGGGGGCAATATCCCATACAACCCACCACACACCCCACTAGGTCATAGTCATACTAAATGAATACAGTTCTTTTTCATGCTTGATAAAATTAAAACTATATGTAACTGTGCTTCTCTAACATGAAAGTAGATTACAGGTGATGGATATTCTAAAGTTGGCTTCTGAGATGGACTTGAGTTGTATTAAAGCTTATAAACTTGATGCCCTCAAATCTGTACGGAAAACTGATGAAGCAAGAAACCTTGGCATGGCTGATAATCACAGTGAAGCAGTTGAGATACCAACAGAGGACCCTTGCCATGCCAGAGTAGATGGCAGATCTACCAGTGTAGATGAAGACAACTCAACAACAACAGTGGTGCATTCTGGTAAGGAGCATGCAGATTTGCACCCATTTCTTTCTACACTATTGATATTATGTCAGCTTACACATTATGCTTGTGAGTTCCTGTGATCCTTTCTTTCACTTGATGGATTGCATGTACATTCAATAGCTTATTTAAGTACTCCACGTTCGGTGCAATGAGCTATGCCTAAATTGTTTAGATACCACTTATTTCCTCTATTCAAAACTACATGGCATTTTAAATTTAAGTGGTCAAAATTCCTCAACTTGGATCACTAAGGTGTACAATACTATTTAGATTGATGCCCTAGAAAGTGCTGCTATTGGATATTTTCTAAGAGATGCTTAAAAAATTATATGTTTTTAATGATTATTACTAACATATACAGCAAAAATTGATGGTCAAAGTGCCTTATTTGAGGAAAAAAAGAAAAAATCGACTGGTGGGGGATGACATCCCCTGGCTTTGCCTTGATGTGGGAAGTACCAAACCCTAGCTGGCCAAGAAACTAGTTAACCAGTTCTCAGGGAGGTACAAATTGTTCCGTCAAATTGGATTGGCTGGGTCTGTTCCTAGATGCACTGAACTTAGCTTTGCTAATTGGTGGCGCAAAATAATAAGAACTGAGAAGAAGCACAGGAAGGGACTGAATTCTTTAATTATCCTAGGTGCTTGGATTATATGGAAGCATAGTGTTGACGCCGAATTGGACTACACACCCGCCGAATTGGACTACACACCAGCGGGTAACCAACACGATTTCGCGGTGAAGACCGGCGAGGTTTATGAGGAAACCAGCAAAGGATAACCAGCACTCTTTTGTGGTGAAGAACGGAGAGGTTTACGAGCAAACCACCAAAGGATAATCATCATGCTTGCGCGACGAAGAACAACTAGTTTACGAGCAAACTAGCAAAGAAACTGTCGAAGCTCTCGCCTGGGAGGGACCCCGTCAGGGCAAGGATCGGCGGGTTGCCCTAGGTCGGCTGGCAAGCCTAGGGCGCCATCCTTGGTCGTCGGATCAAGAGATGAACAGCAGCATGGGGTTGGAAAAAGGATTAGGAGAAAGGGGATATTAAATGTAAATGTCGATTGGATGTTGGAAAACCAATGTTATTATGTTGCTTTATAGAGTTTTCCTTAGATTGGGCCAAAACTGGCGTGGGCCCAATTTGAGTGTCAACACATAGGAATGCTTGCGTCTTCGAGGGTGCTTCTGCATCTGTAAACGCCATTCTAAGGGAATTCAAGGATGAGCATAGCCTTTGGTGCATGGCCGGAGCTAAGAAACTTCAGGGTCTAGAGCTTAGTGCTAGAGTCTAATGTGGTGGCCGAGTCCTTTTTTTGTACTCAAGATGATCATGTAATTTAACATAACCACCTCTCATATTTGGTCCCCGTATGAGATGTGTGTGATGTATGGGGACAATACAATGAAGCGCAGCTCTCCTGCGTTTTCGGAAAAAAAAAGTTCTCAGGGAGGTATCCACATTTTGTGAGCACCTAGGTTTGAGCCTGTCAGCCTGGTGGATGGGCTGCCTTGGAGACACTACTAACCAAGCAAGAGCTGAGTGATAACATGAGATGTTTTAACAACTGAACAAAAGCATGTTATTGCTCCTGTTCTCAAATTCCTTATTGGAGACAATATCTTGTCCAAAGCGTCACACTCTTTAACAGAGGGAGTAGAGATTATTACTTCTGATTGCAAATATATATATTTATTAGAATTTTTGTTATTCAAATGCTTATAGCCTTGACAATCGATATATAAAAAGTTACATAGATTCACCAATATATTCTTGGTGTTATTAGATTCATCATGAAAACACTTATATAATATCTGACTCTTTCTATTTAAAATAATCACATAGTGTGCTTGTTGAATTATTTGAAACAGTTTTGATGTCCTAAACAACTTATATGTTGTGAGAGGTAGTGTGGTATCATCATCACACAGCCTCTAGGCTAGATCACTCATTCACTCTAGATGAAGTGTATTCCTGATACAGAAACTGAACATTCTTTTTCAGTAGATGATAACCTAAATGCCAAAAGATATATTAGCAAGGCAGAACTCAGGAAGAATTTAAGGCGGATGAAGAATGGACCTGGAAGAAATAATTGCTCTGGTGGTAGAGTTGAAAAGTCAAAAGGATTTTATCCTAACAGCTTTGATCGTGTCCTCCTAGATGCTCCATGCTCTGCGCTTGGCTTGAGACCTCGGCTCTTTGCTGGTGAGGTAAGTTCTACCTAATTTAGTTATGTTGTTGATTACCAATGCATCAATGCTGTAAAAAAGACTCAATTTATTTTTGCATCAGTTAAAATAACGTAACGGGCTCATAGTTGATTGCCAGCATTTTTGTGTCATAAATTTAATGTTGAGAAGAATATGGTGATTAGAGAATAGATAGTGCTACTTTTTTGCCCACCTGGATAGCAACTGACAGCAGTTCATAATGTTCAGCTAGTGCAGTAACCTTAAAATGATTGTATAGTCTTATATGCTATTGTATCTTTTGGCATTTAATTCGTTCTGCCTATCAGTTATCACCTGGATTTTTGAAACTCCTGAATATATGCTTTGTTTCTTGGCAAATTTTCAGAGCTGAGCTTGACATCGTTCCAGTTAATAGCTTGATGTGCTTTTTATCTTGTTACCTTGAGTATTTGCTCGTACCAGTTAATAGCATGGAAGATTTCTTTTGATTTTTTAGATCCATTATTATGACAGGAAACTCTAGAATCGCTGAAAAATCATGCGAAGTATCAGAGGAGAATGTTTGATCAAGCTGTCAAATTAGTTCGTCCTGGTGGGGTGATTGTTTATTCAACGTGAGTTTCTGTTCAACTCCATACTTCACCTGTGGTAGAAGATTAAAAAGAACTTGCACATGTAGTTATTTTAGCTGTTAGCTGGATGACCAACATTTCAACTTACAGCAGTTGCTTACTGGACATGGATTTTTTCTCGAACATGTAGGAGAGTTGTGTATCATTATATTAAGAAGAAAAGGAGGGGGATTAGAGCTCCATACAGATCACACACATATATACACCTAGCAGAAAATACAACTCACGTGCCTAGTAAACACTTATTGGACATGGCTAAGAGCTCCTAAGGCCACCTTATTTGTCCTATCCAGAGATTGAACATAAAGGACAGGGCCAGGATACAACAGTGGAGCTAGTGATTTATTATCATCAGAAGTTCATTGTAGTTGCTGCATAAATACCAGTCATAAGTCATAACTATGTAGTCAAGAAATTTAGCATTTTGTTGTTACCCATGTAGTCAAGAAAACAACTAGTTGTTCATATATTGCAGGACTATCCTTGATTGCTATTTGATTGAAGAACTTGATTTGTAATCCTAGTTTGTGTACATGTTGCTAATTTACAATGTTGTCCTATCTAGTATCTGCATGTCATACAATACGAACTGGTATAGTGGTAGATGTGATCATCAATTCAAAGGACGAACAACAGAGCTCAGTGAATAGTTTGTTTATTAGTGCTCATCCTTTTTTTCTGCATTGCCAATGTAGTATAAAGCAGAGCTCAGTGAATAGCTTTTTTATTAGTGCTCGTGCCTTTCTTTTCTGCGTTGCAGGTGTACTATAAATCCAGGGGAGAATGAGGCTTTGGTGAGATATGCATTGGATACCTACAAATATCTGTCACTGGTATCACAGGTAAGTTCCATTATTTGCAACTGATTAATTTGTACATTGCTAAAAAAATTTCACCAATATTATCTTAAACTACATCAGGAAGTAGATTGCAAAATAAGAAAGTAATTCATAAAGCCATACTCCATAGAATGCAGCAAACCATGTGATATATACCTGCTTCGGTTTTTGGAACTGTTGGATGTGGGCTGAGATGCCAAGGAACTTGATTTGATAGTGTACACTGATAACATGTCACTTCAGAGTTCAGACATTAAATCTTGTAATCTTGCACATCATGGCTCTGGTCTTCACATTATTGTTCAAAAGATGGATGCGAGATTTTCCAGGCTACTAAAATTGATATTTACAGGACTCTTGACTGCATTTTCCACATCATCTTCATTCTTCTTTTTCAGTTTCCGAAAGTTGGAGGGCCTGGTATTGTTGGTTCGTGTGAGCTGTTCAACAAGACATATACTGAGTAAGATTATTGTTATCACCTTGTCAGAAATTCAACAGCTGAGCCTGTTATTCAGATATTGCTTGGACAATTCAATTTCATTTATTGGTAATTATTGGCAACTCCCCCTAAAACTGGAACAGGACTGTTCCACTTGTTGGCCAAACTGGCGATTTTCAGGCCAGAAACAGTTCTGTTAGTTCTTAAGGTGCATGTAACTTTTCCTCATGTCCAAATTCAAATCATTAGGGTGCTGTACCATATATGTTATACATGGCATTGGAATATGGATAACTTCTTTATCAAGTGAAACTAGTTACATGTTTTTTGTCACTTATATCATTGGTTAGGAGCCAAATAATCAGTTGTTTATGTATATAATCATTAGTGAGGCATATTAGTTAGGATTAAGTCCAATTTTCCTCCCTTAACTCTTGCGTTTGTCTAATTTTAACCCCCAACTACAAATCTGGTTGAGCCAAATAGTTGAGGTGCCAAACATACTCGATTCTGTAGTTGGGGGCTTAATTTAACACAGGGCCTTTTTTTTTTTTTTTTTTTTTGGGGGGGTGGCGGTTTGGCAAAATGGACTTAATCGTGTTAGTTATAACTTCTAAGATTATTATTCATCAGTGAGGCTTTCCTTTCATGATGCACCTTACTGAAAGTTGTCCTTCCAACTCTGAAAAATCTTTCAAATGCACCTTACTGAAAAGTTGATTTTCCATCTCTTAAACGTTCATGCCCTTGCAGAGAATGGTTGAGAGAGGATGAAGCTGAACTTGTTCAGAGGTTTGATCCGTCATCATCAGTGGATACCATTGGTTTCTTCATTGCGAAATTCAATGTTGGAGAGAAAGATGAATAAACGAAAGGGATTGAAATTCAATGTTTGACACCCGCAACTTACAGTAGGGGTATCAGCACTTTCTGCAATCAGATGGTGAACCTATACCCATGGAGTGGAGTGCAGGGTGTCCCCTGAAATTTTGTTTGCCAGTTTTTGATATTTTTCTTTTGTTCGAAGTACATTGTTCATTATGGTGAAATGATGAGGCAACTAAGATTCAAGCATTTGGACACAATATACTTACATACTGGCGGCACTTTGGGCTGCAACTCCAATGATAGGAGTGGAAGACAGGAAGAGGGGTTTCTGTTGGTAGGCCTTTGCACTTTTAACAAAGTAATAACAGCTATTTTTGTTTTTTTTTGGTTGCATTTTGTATACAAGAAGTGAAAATGCTAGCTTTTTTTTTATCTCACCTGCATAGCTCAAACTTTGAAATCTGTGAGTGCAACTTGGACGTGTGTTTTTGACCTCCCTAGATTACTGTGGAGGTTTTATTTCCTTTAACCATATACTAGACAGAACCTTTCCTAAACTCGCAATATCAGTTATTTCCCCCAGGGTTGTTTTGACCCTTGTTTTGAATTAACATGGCATAAGTTCTGACATGTAAGAAGCCACCTCACCATTTTCTTGTCTTGAGAAAAAAAATATTAACAAAGTGTCCCACTCGAGGAAAATGATGAAAGCTCAGTTGCTCCTCAATACTCTTGCACGGTTCGGTTTCACGAAGAGGAACGGCAGGCGAAGCCACAGCCCGCAGGATGACAGGAGCACGGCAGCAAGGCGCACGATACGGATTGATGATTGCCAACGGTTAAGGGTGGCCCGGTCCTAGCACGGCACGATCAGGCACGACGTCTTGGTCGTGTCGTGCTGTATCACCGATTCACCGTGCTAGCTTTACGGCCTAGGCACGTACTCTCAGTCCTCAAGTGTATCATGCTGTGCTATGTCGTTGGGCACGGTGGATCACCGTGTCACTGTCATGCTCAGGCACGATCATCAGGAAACAGCGAATACACATAATGGCTCCGTTCGACTTAACTTAAAAGCCGGCTTATTTGGTTTCTTTTTTTTTTCAGTCGAAACAGTATTTTTCTCTCCCAACAATTCAGCTTTGCCTTATTTTTTCAGCCAATTTTAGCCAAGCGAACAGAGCCAATACAATAATTTAGGTCCTATTTGGATTCATAGAACTAACAACTAAGTGACTAATTTTTAGTCTTTAAACATCAAACATACGGACTAATTGTTTCCTTTGAAACATGCGGACTAATGGTTAGTCTACTAGTCATAGACTAGTTATTAGTTCACTAGTTCACTTATAAGAGCTAATAGAACTAGTTATTAGTCCTAATCTATCCAAACAAGCCCTTATATTCATAACCAAAATTGTTCAAAATCGCATAACAACATCAAACTAGGGCATGATTGGTTTCTTTGCGGGTAAAGCCTGGCCCGTGGTCAGGCACGCTTTATCGGATACAGCTACCATTGTTTGGTTCTCATTTCTATTCCAGCCAAACCATAGAGTAATGGTGTTTGGTTGCCTCTCTCTTGCCGCATGAACACTCTCTCGTCAGGCATCACGCGCACTGCGGCAACCAAGGCCGTCAGAAACGAGGAAATTTCTCGTTGCACCGAGTCGGACATGCCCGGTGCCTACTGCAGCCAACCAATCAATCGCTCCATGCATGTGGAGGGCCTGGTTCGGCTGAAACCAGCCAACCAAGCACGCCCCTAACAGATCTTCAAAATCAGAGATACACATAACACATAACATATCACATGATCACATAGATAACCATAGAAGAGAGAACATAAATATTGAGTTGTTCGTACAATGACTGACTCGTTAAAAAGCTATGTAGGTAAAAACTCACGCCTCGAAAATCCTAGATAGGAGAAGAATACAACCCGGCTTAGATTTATAGTTTAATGTGATCACATCATTCAAAGTTTAAAAAGGGTTTTTGGATCTTCTGTTTTGCAATTGCATTCCTGAAAAAAAAAGTTGTTCTAAGGTTGTTTGCTGGCATAACTGTGCCCACACAAAAAATAAAAATAAAAATGCTGGCGCAACCCCACCGGCCCACCCCAAAGTGTCGCTGGCGACTAGAGAGCGGCGCGATGCCCATTTCTGGCTCCTCTGGGAGATGCCCTGTTTGTTTGGGCTGGTTCCCTACAGGAGATATTGGTTTGGTGTGAGTCCGTTCGTTTGTTGGTGATAAGTCATGAGTTATAAGCCAAAATGATCAAACGAACGGATTCAATTCAACGCACAGTCGCCACTAGGGCGTTCAGCCAAATCAGTCAAGGAGCGTTTAAAAGATTGGCGCCGCCCAAATTTCGCAAGACCGTTGCGGTAGCGCGTTTTGTTTTTATTTGATAATAATTGTCCAATCGTTGATTAATTAGGCTCAAAAAAAGTACAACTAAACTGTGCAATTAATTTTTGATATTCAATTCAACACACAGTAGCCACTAGGGCGTTCAGCCAAATCAGTCAAGCCACACACGACACCCCGCACCGCCCCACGCCGCGCGGCCGCGCGGGGGAATCCAGACTTCGTCGCAGTCGCTCCTGGTCCCGCTGCCGGCTCCCGGCCGCACCCCGCTACCGTCCCACGCCGTATGCTGTCGCCCGCACCGCACCACAAGTCCCCGACCGGCACTCTCCTCCTAGACCCCCTGCGGCGACTCTCCCTCACCAATCCGGCCGACGTCCACACGTCCTCCTTCAGTCCACTCCAAGGTGAGCCCCAACCCTAACTTTACCTCCGTTACCCGTGGAATTCGATTTGGGCAACTAGGGTTCTATAAAGTTGTTGGATATGGTTAGATCAGGTGGAAGATGTCCAATTTTAGCCACTGGCTGTTGAAAAATGGGAGACATGGTTACTTCTTCTCTCTAGTAGATATTCCGAGCCGATTGGTCTTTTTTCAAAGCATCACTACTGGTTTGAGATTTTTTTCAGGCAAATTACTGATTTGAGATTGTTGTTGTACTTTTATAACTTGCTAACCTGACTTTGTATGCTCAGGTCACGTGTATTGGTTTGGTGGACAATATGTCAAGCTCTAACCAGATGTGTTCTGATGGCAAGTTTGGGAGAGGTAAGCTTTTTGGTTCTTAATTCAACTCGCCTTACTTTTAACTGAGAAAGGAAATCCTGTAGAGTTCCAGGCCATCTTTTGAGGTAGCATGTTGCATAAATTTCACAAATGGTTAAGTTTGGAACTACTTTTGATACAAACATAGATAAATGAATAAAGGAAACATATAGACTTATGGATATTTTGATTTATGATCAAGGCACAAATTGACTTGTGGATCATTTGCAAATGTTGCAGTGATAGTGCTCTTGCTAAGGCTATTTCTTGTTAGGTTCATGCTCTTGCTACCCTCTATTGCACTATTAGTATTGACTGTACCTTTTGACAATGCCATGTAGAATTTTTAAGTAACTTGACTTCAACACAATCAACTTTGTACTTTAATTTTGCAGCCCTGGTGGCATTTGCATTGGACCTAGTCCAGGAGACCTTGGTAATAATGCACCTTTTTGATACAGCTAATTAGGGCAACCGGATTGTGAATGAAAAGTACACCTTAATAAACAATAAATGCAGGTTTGTTGCCGGCCATAAACATTGCGCAAATACACCTTAGAAAAAAAAACTTATGGCCCACTGTAAAGCTTACTGTGTGGCAATAATAAGGAATTAAAAAAAAACTTTCTCTTGTCTCCCTCTGGTTCCATTGGGCTGTTGTGTTGGCTCCCTCACCGGGAGCATAAGCGGAGCTAAATAAGATGACGGCCACAGAGGTGCGCCACAGCTCTGTGAACTGCTAGGCACCACGAGATCTGATTCCAGTTGGTTGAATTTGGCCATGGTGTAGACAGAGACGCTAGAGACTCGACCCAGGTACTGGCACGGTGGCACCTCCTGATCCGACTGCTTGAGGCTTGATGTGGTTGGTGGGGAGGTAAATCTGGTGATAAGGACCTTCACTCAGCCAGAGAGTAGCTCAATCTGGCAGCCGAGAGCTCGATTCTATATGTAGCATCTCCGATTTTGGTGGAGGGGTGTCACAGCCATGGAGAAGCAGGGGAAGAGGTGCCGGTATTCAGGGAAATCGCTGCGAAGGGAACGGGGAATGGGAATGGGAACAGGAAGAGGATCTCATCGCTGGGGAGTGGAAGCAGAGAGGCGCTGCTGCTGTAATGGTGCAGGAATGACATAGGGTGTGTTTGGTTGGTCTGCTCCACTCATCCTGCATGGGCTGAGCCATATAAAGCTGAGTGAGAAGTCTGAAGTCTGTTTGGTTGGCTGCATGCAATTGCATGAGTGGATACAGGTTGGCGAAATACGCCCAAATCGAGCTTCACTGCCTGGCTAGACTGAGTGGATACAGTATGAGGGTGACGGGCCCACGTGTTAGTCTCACAGGTTAGACTGGTTGCATCCGCTCATGCAGGCAACCAAACATCTTAGTTTTTTTTGCTTCCGCTCATGCAACCCCACCAAACACCTTTTCTAAAATACGGTTCCACTCAGCCTGCATTCCCTCAGCTAGGATATACAATGCAACCCCATCCACCAACCAAACACACCCATAGTTGCAGAAGGTGGGAGGGATGATTGGAGCTATAGGTTTTGTTTTTCTATTTATATTATGCCTTGTGACCTGCCAACAACCTTCTTTGAGCGATACAAGTTGTGATGGAGGAGGTAATAAAGCTCACTTTATCAGGTGGCCGTAAGTGTTGTGCATGCCCTTAGGGAATTAGTTTTTGATGTGACACTAGCACCATGTATGCTGTTGGTTTCTTGGTGCCTGTAATGATATTAGAGGTTCTATGTAGTATACTCAAAGTTCGGCTAGGCGGCGACTACTCGGTGACTACGCGCGCCTAGTCGCTGGGCGAAGCCCGTCGCCGCGACTAGGGGCATAGTCGCGCATCGCGGCGCTAGGCGGAGCCGTCCGCACGCCGTCGCGGCCACTGCCCAGCCGCAGCCGTTGGGCGCAGCCGCACGTGCGCCAGCCTTAGTCGTCGGGCGGCCGCGCGTGCGCGTGTGCCCGCTCCGGCTGGCCGCGGCCTCCGGTGGACGCCGCACCTCCCCTGGCTGCCGCCTGCTGCCCCTCCCCACGCCGGGCGCGGCCCTCTGGTTGAAGCCGCCCCTGCTCTGCTTCACTCGGGGAACCAGGCGCGGCCCTCTGCTCTGCCTCGCCGCCCCTGCTCGCGGCCCTCTGCTCTGCTCGCCGCCCCTGCTCAGCTTCGCTCGGGGAACCAGGCACGGCCCTCTGCTCTGCTCGCCGCCCCCTGCTCTGCTTCGCTCGGGGAACCAGGCGCGGCCCTCTACTCTGCTCTGCTTTCTCTTGGAGCAGCTGCTCTGCCCTGCTTTCTCTTGGAGCAGAGGAGAGCTCCGTTGCCAAAACGCCTAGGCAAACGCCTAGGAGCGCCTAGGACCGAGTACTCCCGACTAGGCGCTAGGCAATGGGTCAGCGCTTAGATTCCGCCTAGCGCCTAGCTGAACTTTGAGTATACTCCCTCCGTCCCTGAAAGAGTGACGTTTTTTACTTTTAGACATCGTGTTTGACCTTTCGTCTTATTAAATTTTTTTATGTAAATTATAAAATAAATAAATCATTAGTAAAGTATCTCTAATGATAAAATAAGTCATAACAAAATATATGATATTTATACAAAAAATTTGAATAAGACATGGTCAAACAAGATGTCTAAAAGTAAAAAACGACACTCTTTTTGGGACGGAGGGAGTACAAACTATGGCTAGCTTGTTGACTTCTTTACTTCCGATGGCAAATATATTCGTTTCAATTAAGTCTCTTTTGTTTATGATGCACAAAGCATCACCGTTTTCCAGTCTTTGACTCCAAGAGCCTGGATCCTTGTTATTCACAATTGCTAGTTCTATTGCCCAGAGTAGATACTCAAGCACCATGATTTCTTTCGGTATTTCAGGTCCTCGGGAGCTTAGTGGTGCTGTGGACTTAATTAGTCGCTACAAGCTGCTGAATCATCATAGTTTCTTTTGCAAGAAACCTTTGCCATTGGCAATTTCAGATACAAATTATCTTAACAATGTTGTGGGCGACACAGAAATTCGTAAGGGGGAAGGGATGGAGTTGGACCAACTCTTTCAGAACTCATATTCAAGTGAGAAGACTGCTTACATTCAGCCATTTGACATGGAAATACTAGGACAAGCATTTCAGCTGCGAGAAACTGCACCAGTAGACTTGCCTTCTGTAAGATATGTTCGGTTAGAATTTTATGTCTTTGATTATATTGACTCTTCCTTATTACTGAAGTAATCTGTACTCAAAACAGGCTGAAAAAGGTACACCAACCATATCTGGGAAGTCCAAGGTCAAGTCCAAGGGTAAAGTAAAGAAGCATAAGAAACACAAAGAGAAAGATAGAGACAAGGAGAAGGAGCAGAAGAAACACAAACATCGGCATAAAGATCGGAGTAAGGATAAAGATAAAGATAAGGACAAAGACAAAGAAAAGAAAAAGGACAAGAGTGGGAATCATGATTCAGGAGGTGATCATTCCAAGAAACATGAGAAGGTTACCTGATCTATCCTATTTATTTTAGATATGAGCTTGTCTGAACTGAGGATTTCTATGCTCTAATATCTTCCATTATTATTTCAGAAGAGAAAGCAAGAAGTAACTGGAAGTTCGGCAAATGTCCAAAATCACAAGAAAAGTACTGTATCGTATATATTATTTTATCATATTTCCATAATTAAAATAAATATTTCCTAATATTGCCATTTTGTCCTTGTCTGTTTATGACAGCACAAAAGCACAAAAATCAGTGAAATGTATGATGGACTTCGTTAATTGGCAGCCGATGTTTCTATTTTAGTTCAACTCCATTTATGTTGTTAATGAGTGGCTCTAAATTGTTTCTTTTCCACATTTCTTCTGGCAAAGGTATGTGCTTCTTGACCTCTTGTAGTCTATTGGTTAATTTATTTAGATATGCTTAATTGCGTGCTATATATAACTTTATTTGCATATTTGGGCATCTTATTCTTCATTTAGAGCCATATACTTCCATTTTCTTTGAGTGAAGTTTTGCCTTTAGAGTACATAAGTATGATTAACTTTATATAACTTTATTTGCATGACCAGCTGTTCTTCATTTGGAGTTTGGCATAGATTAACTAGTGCAATACATGGTATGCTACTCTAATAAAGATAAGATGATTATTCATTATGGGTATTTTCTCACAAAGAAAACGCAGAAAACAGGTTTAGATGATGGGAGAATTGGAAATGAAGAGATGAACTGTGCAAAATAACAAAATTGGATGTCATAGTTCTTTATTTTTTCCTTGAACGTGCAGGAGTTGTGCATCATTATATTTTAAAGAGTAAACTCCACTGGCTGTCCTCAAACTTGTTTTGCTGTGCCATCTTGGTCTCTAAACTCCCAAATCGACCATTTAATTCCACAATCTCTATTCGGGTCTCAGATCCAGTAAAATGGATCTAGCCCATGCCTGTATACTATTGTGCATGCTGACATGTGGGTCTAGCCCATTCTCCGCCATTCTCCTCTCTCTTTGGCGTGGATTGGGGAGGCGCACGTCTGACTTGGGAAGGTGTTGCTAGGGGCTCGGGTGCTGTGGCCCTGCCACTGCTTAGCTTAGGAGAGAGGGAGCATGGGCACAGGCAAAGCTGCAGCAACGACGAGGAGCTACTGGCGGCGGCACAGGGACTACTGGAGTTGTCGCTCGTGAGCTGGGCGCCTACCATCGGGAGCTGGGCGAGACGCCGACCCGCCTCCACGACTGGTCCACATGCATCTAGAACGAGATGCGCCGGTGCCTCACGTGGCTCAGCTTTGGCTTCGTCATTGGCGTCGACATCTTCATGCTCACCAAGTTCACCGTTGAGATCCCCATGAGCGGTGGCTTCTTTGCGTACCTGTTGAGATCCCATGGCCATCATCGGTGCCGGTTTTCGTGCCCATCGAGTTTAAGGATGACAGTTGCTTTGATTCGGATGTGCGGCCAGGGGCACAACCCACTCAGCTAGGGTGGCGCCAGCACGCTTTCCCTGCCAGAGCAGCTTACGCTGCCACCAGCTCTAGCCAGACATCTTGGCATGCACGATGCATGGCCATCCAAGCCTAGGGCGACACGTGGCCTCTGAGCAACTGAGAGAGAGGAGAGATGGAGCTCAGGGGAGAGGCGAGGGGTGAAGCTCATGTTAGTATGCCACATCAGCCTACATGCAAGGTTCTAGACCTGCTTGGACGGGCTCTTAGACCCGAACAGAGATTGAGGAGCTAAATGGACGATTTGCGAGTCTAAGGACCGAGATGACACAATAAACAAGCTTAAGGACTGCCAGTGGACTTTACTCTATTATAAGGAAAAAAAGGAGGGAGTCTTAGAATAATCAATTACTCATACAAGCATGTTACTATATGGTTCCTACAAGAGGATTGACCAAATAAAGAAACTACGGCCAATGTCCTATAAGCAAAATAATTATGGCTAAACGCTACTGAGGACTTGCCACCTGCCTACACCACAATTGGGCTTCATCCCTAATGTTCTGCATAACATCATTGACATTTGGAAGCTCCCTCAAAAACACAAATTTCTATGCTTCCAAATCTGCCTGGCCACTGAAACAACTAAGGAATTGAAGCCTTTGCGAATTTTTGCACTTTGCTGTTTTTATATTTCACGTTTTTAAAATTTCCTTGTCATCGTCTTTCCGGTTTCTAAAAGAGTTGTTTTGGCCACATCGTTATCATTGAAGTAGTGCAATGATTTTTTTTAAAGAATGCTCAAGAATTATTATGATTTGAATCTTTATCTCGAGATAAAAGCATACTGTTCTTGTTTTCGGTGTACCACCTGACCAATCTAACAACACTTGTTTTATGTCATAGATGCAGTTATCGCAGATGGAAAAAATATTCAATGCTACGCTGCTACAGAGGAAACAAGATACCTGTACTGATGGGATATGATTCATGTATTATTCCTTGGGGAGCTTGAACTTACCATATGGAGTTGTAAATTATTTTGTCATTTCGACTTATGTTCACTTCATCTTGCCTTGTATGATCATGTAATTCAGAGACCGCAGAGCCAAAGCTGGGCTGGGGCTTATATGTAAGCCTAGGACTATATTATTATATTCAATATTCAATGGGGGGGCAGCGGATAAATTGCCCATGATCCAGGAAACTTGTGTTGTAGCTGTATGATGAATACTTCCTATCAGCCTCGTGTGACAATCAATCGAGTTATACCGGTAGTCAATTTGAAGACCGTGACGTCCCAAAGTTGCAGCAGTGGAACTGAAGCTATTCACGTAGCTGCTCGTATTGTATTGGTATGGCCTTAAACTAGGTGGGCTTTGGAAATTTGTTTTACTATTAGTGCTCGTCTGCGTTTATAGGGGTGAGTGTGCGTTCGTGTATGTGAGCGTCTGCGTCTGTACTGGGTTGCCTGCTTCCTTTGTGGGTTGCCTGCCTCCTTGGTCGTGGCAGTGTTGTCCTCTGTGGTCGGGTTGAGGGACCTTGAATCCGGCTGGTTTGGTGAGATTTGATTCTTGGTCGTGAGCTCTATGCCCGTAGTGGGTACGGCGTTTGGTGAGATTTGATTCTTGGTCGTGAGCTCTATGCCCGTAGTGGGTACGGCCGTACGTCTGTCTATAGAGTTAGGCAGGGATCAGGTGGCGCTGAGCCATGCCCCTAACGTAGCTTGGTCAGGGTGTGGTCTTGTGAAGGGTGCGGCCAAGGGGTGACGCTTTGCCCTGGGATCCAGTGGTCAGAGGGGTAGGGGATCAGGGGCATGCACATTTAATGCCTATACCTACCTCCTACCCTTTCCTTGTGGCTGAGGCCGGAGGTGGTTGAGGCAACTGCGTGGTGCATGGTCAAGGAGGGAGTGGTCGAGGCGGGCCACATGCCGTTTGGATCGGGGGAATGAGTGGTCGAGATGGGCCACAGGAGCTGGGCTGTCCCGAGTGATTTGTTAGGCGAGCCTTGGGTACCCGGTTATGTACCCCGACAGTAGCCCCCGAGTGTCTTTATGATTTAGAAATAATCGTGAAGACACTCTTCTCTGTGAGCGGCGCTCGCGTGGTCACCATGTTAATGCGGAATGCAGCCGTTGCGTGCTGTCTTGTCCACCAGTCGTCAGCCACTTGCGGCCTCCGCTCGACCGGTTAGAGTTTGGCAACTCTGTCTATGCTGTGCGGTCTTGTCGAGCCTGCTCACCGTGCTGCAAGCTCTGTGCCCTTCGGGGAATCTCGAGGTTGTGGCCGTGTGCAAGCTTTACCCTTTGTCGCTCCGTCTTGTGCCACGCGGCGCAAGGCTCACGCGTTGCACAATCGCACTTGGGCCTATAAATAAGGGCTTTTTTCGTCCGCTTTGAGTCATCCTTAGCCAAACCTTCAGCATATACTTGTGTGTTTGAGCTCCTAAAGATAGGATGTGGCCTTCTAGTTCTAGGGGCCGGTTACGTTCGCCGGACGGCGGCGGCATGCCTACCAACATCTGGTGCTAGAAGAATGCTTGCGAGCAGTGGTGTGCGAGATGCCATCATGGCCTGTTCCGCAACCTTGTCGCCTTGATGTCTCCTAGGAATGATGGGTCTGGGAGTGCGAGGTGCGCAAGGATCTGAGATTTCGGCCGGTTCCTCCTGAAATCTATCGGTAGTCCGATGGTGCACCGTGGTCTCACTGAAAGACCATCTGGCGACTGTGGGAAGCTGCGCGAGATGTGGAGGAGGTTTCACATTGCCCCGACGGGTTCCTTCCGTCATGGAGGAGACTGTCATGGAGGAGACGATGACGGTGGTGCTTGTAGCTTTGTGTGTTGAAGTGGTTTAGATTAGAAATCATTTGCTACTAGTATTGTATAGAAGTTTGCTTGGGTGAAATAGAGCTGATGCAAATTTAAGTAGTTGCTATTAGGGCCATATTTTGTACTAATCAACTTTTCTCTAGTCATGTGATTTTGTAGAGAATTGTATATAGGCTATTCACTACCGGAATCTGGAAGTTTGACGAGTGCCAAACTTTGCCGAGTGCAATTATTTTGCCGAGTGTTTTTTTACAACACTCGGCAAATTGCCGAGTGCCCAATAGAATCACTCGACAAACATTCTTGCACTCGGCAAACACCCAGTTTCTGGTAGCGATTCAACCCCTCAAGCCATCTAGATCCTTTCATTAGTTTATTAGTCTATCTTGCTAGGATAGTGATTATGATTGGAACTTAGTTTGCATAACTTTTTAGGTTAGAGATAGCTATACTTAACAAAACCATAGTGGACATTTAGATAGATATCTTGCATAGGTTTTGATAAGTACGTTTTAGAGGCCATTAGGTTTTAAGTGACCCAATCCATCTTCTTCTTAGGCGTCACAGTCTACAACCATGGTTTTAGATCAACTTCAATTTGATATTATTGTTAGGCATCCCAACTGAAACTTATGTCGTCTTATCCCTAATAGCCGCCACAAGATAATAGGGTTCTCATAGAGAAATTAAAAATATGCCCAGCATCAGTACATAATTTTACAGTTGTGAGATGGATTAATTTGGTTGCAATTTTACAGTTGGGAAGTCACCTCATGACCATCATCGCTTTAGTCACTCCAGCAGAGAAATTATGGTCGTGGAGAAACAAATACGAAGAAAAACCATCCCTAATCAATCTCTCTATTGCAAGATCGATTTTGACTAGATTTTAGGGTTGCATGTTCATCACTGGACGTGCATTTGGTTGGCTGGCTATCTTGGATGAGATATGGCCACCGATGAATAGATGTTTGGTTTATGGATGAGTTAGATATAGATATTCTCGATAGGAGAATAGTTTTCTAGGCACTGAATATTCTTGCCACCGAAAATTAACAGACAAGCTCATCTATGTTTTGTAATCTTTGTAATTAGTAAATAAATTAAAGATTATTAGTATGTGATATTATTATTTAGTAACTATGATGATTTATATAAGTGCTAATATGTGAATTAGTCTACGTCATATGTACCAATTAGGGGTAGTAGTGCTAATTAACATATTTTATATTAATTAGTGACTATCATGACAAAATTAGTGTTAGTGATTAGTATATAATTAGTTGTTATTATTTTAAATAATAGATATAGTTAGTCATCTATTCTCGTTTCATCCACCTCATCCATTCAACTAAATAGAAAAATAGTTCGCCCTATCCATTCAGCCAGGAAGCATGGATAAATCGATCACAAAATACATGAACGACCATTGCCGTTAAACTAAACACACACCATCAACCCACTACATGTTGTATAGCTATATGCACTTTGAAAAATCCTATAATTAAAGCTTGAGTAAACTCAATGCAAACAAACAACATATATGTGGAAGTTTTCTAAGTCTAAATAACATATATGGCTTTAGTAGGAATTCAAGCTTTGTCATACAGGAACTTATCATGAAACATTTTTTGTGTTTTTCAAAAGATAAATCTTCAGAACTCTATTATCACTTGGAATAAGAAAAACAGCAGCTCAGATCTTCTCATATCAAATTCGTCAATTACCTAGACTTCGATCAAGCATATACTACTCACTAATTTTTAGTTCAGAGTCAGTCGTATCCAAAACTCGAGAGAATTCAAGACTAAAAACTAGTTACTTGAAGGAATTACAACTATTCATCATTTCTATTATAGGAGATTATTCTTAGAGTCCATTTATTTAGCTCTTAAAAATCTAGACACACCTTTTATTTTGATTTCTTATTTTTTTCAGATCACACCTTACTAATATATATAAGACAAAGATAAATTTTTATTTTGCTTTTAGTTATGCATCTTTTTTAGCAAATGTAGAACAAACTTAAGAATAACAAAAGAAAAGAAATACTTAGCTAGATACACAGGGGATGCCTTTCCCCCAAGTTGGATATTGACGTGGTCGAATGTTGAAGTTGAGTGATCCTTCTTAGAGTAGATTTGCCAACGGATGTCGTTCTCGTCCTGAAGTGGAGCGAGATGAAGAGGACCGGGTGAACTTGCTCTTGATCTTTGTGCATCATCCTGCATAATACCAACAAGAATATCAAAACTCGTGAAATGGATTAGGATAAAGGGTTAGTGGTTAGCCGTCCAGAGATTAGTTGTTCTTTAGGGTTAGAAATATTTTTGTATTGGTAGAATTTAGTAGGATATTTACCTAATATATTTTTTAATTTTCTTATTTATGCTATGTAGAACAGAAAATATGTATGCATGGTATTTTTAATTTTTATGCCACCACAATAAATATTCCCATGGGTATTTATACCGTAGATTTAGTCACATGGGGCTTAGGATTTATAACGCAATGAAAAAATACAGTCATGAAACTTTTTATCTTTCTTTTATTAGCATAATGTAAATACAGGAAAGTAAATATGCTAAAATAAAAAATAATTCATGCAATGCTAGAAAGTAAATATGGATAACTACCGTTATTACCTCACAGCGAGGGTTCGGATTTTTAAGTCCTTCGGACATGACTCTTCTCCTATATTGTTCATTCTTTTGGAGCATCTGTCGGTCCTAGGGATGGAGACCTTGATGGTTGCACCTCTAGTGATGGTGACTCGGATGATGTCACCTTTTCTTTCCATACCTACTTCGTCTGTGGACTAGTCTTAGGTGGAGTAGGATTTATCTTTCATAACTTCTTTAGGTTCTTCATCTTCTTCCCATTCATTCCTTGGGGGTTGATTCCTTTGGCGTCGGGATAATCGATGTCTCCTCCTAGAGCGGGTCTTCTTTGGCTGTTCATAAGTGGTATAACTATTAAAATAGCAACGTACCTTTTCTCTAGGGAATTGGAAGTGGACTTGTTCAGATTCGACGTAGATGATTACGTTGGTGGTGTTGAGGAACGGTCTTCCAAGGATGATGGGTGTGTCGTATTTTTCTTCACCCATGTCTAGAACCATGAAGTTGGCAGGGGCATAGTGATA